GTAGCCATCATGATCAGGGAGACTAGCCCATTTGTTGTGAGACGTAGTGAAGGGGGAGGAAAGGGAGGATAATAAGGGTAGAAGGACTATGGGGACGGGTGAAGGTGGCATTTGTGTGTGTGTATGGTCCAGCCGAGAATGATGGGCGTGTAAAAGCTACCTTTGTGAAAGAGGTGTTAATTTATTATTTGAGGTCACTCCCTGAAGTAGCTATTGTAGGCGGGGATTGGAATTGTGTGATCCGGCGTAAGGATGTAGAGCCTCGGGGAAGTGGGTACTTTTCAGGGGTATTGGGAGATTTAATGTCAGGGGTGGGATTAATGGATGTGGTGGGGGGGGGGAGAGGTTGAGCATACCTTTGTACGTCGAGGATATGCAGCGCGACTTGATAGGGTACACGTGCCGCGCAACATCGTAGTTAATAGTGTGCGTATCATAGATGTGGTGTTTTCTGATCATAGAGGGGTTCTCGTGGACGCAGGGTGGGAAGGTTTACCTAAGAGGGGTCGTAGTTATTGGAAATTGAATGTTAAATTGTTAAAAGGGGAGGAAAATAGAAAATCTTTTGAGTCTTTTTGGGAGGGTTTGATAGCGGGGGCTCCTGGAGATGGTGAATTGGTTAGGTGGTGGGATGTGGTGGCTAAGAAACGCATTCAGGATTATTATGTTCGGTTGGGGCGGGAAAGTAATCAACTATTGTATGGGCTTCAGGGGTATTTTGAAGAACAGTTACGCCATTGTTATGTGGGTGATGGTGTGAGATACCCTGTGGATGAAATAGAGGATTTAAAGCAACGTATAAAGGGTTTGCATAATGATCGATTTGATGGTGCACGTGTGGCTGGAGGTTTGGAGGAGGTTCTCTACGGGGATCGCCCTTCAGCGTGTGCGTTAAGGGGCCAGCAGCAGAGGAGGGCAGCCACGGAGATGATGGGGTTAACAGTGCACAAAGGGAGAGGTTATCTTGAAGGTCAAGTGTTAGTGCCGATGGAGGGCATGAGCGGGTATATAGATGCTTGGTTTAGGTATTACATGTCTAGCATTGGGATAAGTAATATGGCAATACGGGAATTCGGTAACAATATGCAGTGTCGGCTTAGTACGCAAGATAGAGAAGCATTGGAAGGGCTTATTACAGAGTGTGAGATATGGCAGGCTCTGGCAGGGGCGAGCTTAGGTAAAGCTCCTGGTATTGATGGGATGCCAAATGATTTCTATGTGATGAATTGGGATGTGATAAAGGGGTTTCTAGTTCGGTTATTTAACATCTTAAAGACTGACGGGGTTATGGGAGAATTGCAATGGACGGCATTGGTGGTTTTGGTGCCAAAAGGGAATCCATCAACGATTATGGACTATAGGGCCATTTCGCTTATGTGTGGAGATTATAAGTTGTTTGCGAGGTTACTGGGGAATAGACTGAAAAAGGTACTAGAAAAAGTTATAGATAGGAGACAATATGGGATACCAGGCAGGTCCATGTTCGATGGGCATGGGATGATTCGAGGATTCATAGAAAGGAGACAGTTAGTGGGAGGGGGGGGATCTTCGCTTTAGATTGGGCCACTGCATATGATAGCGTTGAAAGAAGTGCATTATGGCAGTTCATGCGTTGGCAGGGTTTTGGGGATGAAATCATCACTTGGGCTCAGACCTTATATAAGGGGGCGATTACGTGTGTACAGGTCAATGGTCGGTTAGGTGTTCTGGTTCAGATGGGCAGGGGCTTAAGGCAAGGCTGTCCCATATCACAATTATTGTTTGCATGTTTTCAGGATCCTTTCTATAGGGCGGTGCGGGCTAGTTTTCTGGGGGGGTTTGGGGGGTTATGAGAGAGATGGGTGGACGGGTATTGTGGGTTATGTTGATGATACTACAGTCTTGGTACGAGATGATGTTGATTTATTGCAGGTGGAGGGAATCGTAAATATTTTTGGTGAAGCAACTGGAATGAGAATTAATGCTAAGAAGACTAAGTTCATGGCGGTCGGAAATTGGGATCAAATGAATGGGAGTATGAGGGGTAGGTGGGATGTGGTCGACCAACTTAAAATATGCGGGATTGTGTATGCTCGTGAGCCAATGATGGCACGTGAGGTGAACTCAGTGCGGGTTGTAGATAGTGTATTAAAACGAATTGGAAGTTTGAGGTCTGCACATCTCACGTTGCACCAAGGGGTTTAATCGTGACAACGTGCTTTTATATAGTAAATTATGGCATGTGGTGGCAATGTATCCATTATTGAGTCGAGAGGTTACGAAATTGTTGCGTGGGGTATTTCGTTTTATTTGGGGATCAGGTTGTGAATGGTTAAGCAGAGGGGTAATCACTCTGCCGATTGGCCATGGTGGGCTGGGACTCATACCGCTGGAACGAAGAATTATGAGTATTTATGTGAAACGGAGTTTTCTACGAGAGGGTGGGGAAAATGGGAGAAGGATTGAGAAAGTGTATGAGGACATAAAGCGGTGGTGGACTGGGAAGGAATTAAGAGTAGGGGAGGCGATGCTGCGAATTTTGATGGTGGCGAGAAATCCAAATAGAATTAAGCTGCGTGTCATCGAGAGAGTGGGGGGGGGGGGGGGGGGTTGGAGGTAGCGGCCGTGGAAGGAGCATACCCGATGTATGCCTGGCGCGACATATGGGAACGTCTCCGGAAGTTGCGCATCATGCCGGAGGTACCCGAGGTGATGTATAGATTTTTACACGGGATTTTGCCGTCAGGGACTGTCTTATACAATCGCAAGCTCAGGGAAAGAGGGGAATGCCGAGCGTGTGGTGATTTGGAATCCATTTTTCATGTAGTGTATTTTTGTGAAAGCATAGGGAGGGTCAGGGAATGGTTAGGGAGGGTTATTCGTTTTATGGAGAGGGGGGGGGGGGTTGCAGGTGTTGAGAGTGTTAAGTTTGGACATTAATGGGGTGGGTACGCAGGTTAAAAATACGGTGGCATATATAGTGACTGATTTTGTGTACACTTCATGGGTAATGAGAGAAGTAGGTGGGAGTGAAAGGATTAAAGTGTTAGCAGCTACTTTTTATAGAACTAAATGTCGCAATAAGGAAGTATATGGAAGGGGATGGAACACGGAGTTTACGGGAGGAGAGTTACGGGAATTTCAACTGCGTGACTTATGGAATCTGTAGGTTAATGGGATACAATGGGCTCGCCTCCCTCCCAGTGGTGTGTGGTGGTGATTGGGTAAGTAAATGTGAAGTCAGCATGAAAATAGGATGGTATGAAGGAAAAGTGTGAGGGGTGAAGAATAGTTCAAGCTTAAAAATCATCATTGTATTAAGTTAATGTGTTATACCCTGGTATAATAGGGTTAATGATGAATACAAACATTGACATCACATGCAGGTGTGTAAGTAATACGTGCATTGTTAAATGGGAATATACTTTCATGCATGCGCAAGTATTACACTTGTGTGTGAGGGCAGGTATGATCAGACCCAGGAAATGGGTGACAGGATACGGTGTATTAGCCATATAATCCTTACAAAGTGCATCATTGGATTTGTATATCCCAAATGTCTGAGTGTGACAGTCGCTTATCATATATGCAAGTGTAGTACCTGCTAAGGTAAATGTTTAGAAGATGTATTTGTAGTTTCATATTAGTGTATTGTAGGTAATGTTTTCTCAAGTGGTTTCTAAATTGCATATGTAACGAGTGCCAATTGTGGATGGACGATATAAGACGGAGCACACTTAAACCCCATGGGGTGGTTAGAGTGAGCGCAGAACTGTCTGGATGTTACACAATCAAGGCTTAGATTGAAAGCTTAGTTATCAGAGTGAGTTGTGAATGGAGATGAGTTGGATATAAAGGTAAATGAGTACATACACTATTAATCTTGTTATCACATGTGTATGCATACTTAAGTATATGTATAATATATCAGTGACATTGTGAGGCGCGTATTGTGCACGAATTATAGGACGACAAGGGTTTTTTCGCTTAAGCAGGCAGGAGTGCAGGTGTACTGAGTGGTACTGAAAACATAAATAACATGAAAAGTGAGGCACTAATGCATATAGTAGGTCAGGGGTTCTTTGCATAAGTATAATAATGTATATGGTATGAATTTTGTAGATAAATGTGAAATCTAGTGTTCCATTATATAACTTAGGATAGGGATATAATAACACGGGGGGGGGGGGGTGGAACAATTTGTGTACATACACAGACTTCCCAATGTATTCTACCAAAGGAATTATGAAATTTTGTGGAAGAACTAATTCCATAACCCCTTTTTTTTTTATTTCACGTTGTACTGTTTTAAATAAAATATAAAAAAAAAAAATACTGAATACTTGTATCTCATAAATTGTATCTCACATATGTCTCATTATTGTATCTCATAAATGTCAGCCTGTGACCCAATCAAACTTTGTTACTATTTAACTTCATTACCTAACAGAATACTCCATTCTACTGATTACACAGCAACACAGTAAATGACCATATGACCTGTCTTTGTAATACTCATTTGTACTAAATTGTTATCTGTTTTACAACAATTTTTGTACCACTGAATATATCATTACTTAGTTAATCTTAAGTTAATTTTTAGCCTGCTCATAATGCTCTGCATACAAGGGCCTTTGGCATGCTGCACTTTAAAAATTGTATTCCTTGTACTTGTCTGTATCATGTTCAAATAAATAAATAAATAAATATGTTCCCCATCAGATTATTATAATAAAAAAGAAGCGCTAAGCCACAAGGGCTATACAGCATTCCCCATCAGAAAAATGGGTACCTGGGTGTTAGTTGACTGGTGTGGGTCACAGCCTGGGACAAAACTGACCTAATTTGCCCGAAATGCTCTGCATAATAAGCGGCTTTCTATATACATACTACTGTCATTGATTTTAGCTAGGTCTGTAAACCTTGTACATGTACTTATAGAAATATACAGTGGAACCACTGTATGTTTCTACAAGTGCATGTACAAGGTATAGTCATGTATAAGGTATACGGTCACTCACAGCACTACACTCCTTCCTTCTGAGCCTCGGTCAGCACTGAGCTGGCCAGGTGACTGGTCCAGTAGCTGTACCAGCAGCCATCCACACAGTTACCAATTTCTATTTTGAAGCATTTGGCACAAAAATATGAAAAAAAATGCGAAAAATGTCTAAAAATAATATATTATTATTATTATTGTTAGTATTATTATTCTTATTATTATTATTATTCTTATATTGTATTATTATTATTATTATTATAATTATTATTATTACTATTATAATTATTATTATTAGTAATAGTAGTATGTACGTATTATTATAATTATTATTATTATAAGTATTATTATTAGTAGCAATAGTAGTACGTATTATTATTATTATTATTATTATTATTATTGTGGAAAATTGCATTTATCTGAATGTAACTAATTATGTACATAACAGTAAATGATAACAAAGATAATTATTATTTATCAATGTTACATAGACAAGTAGGAATTTGGGACACCTAGGTCGCAAAAAAATGTCCCCCTTCGATACCTACCACTGTCATAACCACAAGTTGCTCTGGACCGGTGGCCTGGTGGCTAAAGCTCCCGCTTCACACACGGAGGGCCCGGGTTCGATTCCCGGCGGGTGGAAACATTTCGACATGTTTCCTTACACCTGTTGTCCTGTTCACCTAGCAGCAAATAGGTACCTGGGTGTTAGTCGACTGGTGTGGGTCGCATCCTGGGGGACAAGATTAAGGACCCCAATGGAAATAAGTTAGACAGTCCTCGATGACGCACTGACTTTCTTGGGTTATCCTGGGTGGCTAACCCTCTGGGGTTAAAAATCCGAACAAAATCTTATCTTACATACACCAGGAATACTGGTAAATTTGTGGACTGTATATTAAAAATAATAAATGGTTATATATATACACAATTACATAACAGAAGGAAAATATATCTTAATATCACTCACCAATTTGACTGGATATTAAGTTGTATCATACTCAGAAAAACCTCACTAACTAAATTTATGAAAACACTGGCCAGAATTATACACAAATCTAGAGAGCTTATCTGAGGTTCCTGGAGCTGTCTTGTCCAGTCGTCTGATATCTCAAGTTATGCAGGAATGCACATCCACCAATTTCGCCTCCTATTTGAGAGGTGTTAACACAATTTTAACCTCTAGAGCATGAAAAATTCTTCCCATTACACCAACGTTTGTACAAATTCAAAACCAAGATGGCGAGTCTCGTCTGCACCGACGCAGGCTTTCCGTTTTCTATGACATAAATATTATTAAATACAGTATGGCCATCTATTTACATATAAATACTGAATTTCTGTAAAATATATACAGTATTTTCCATAATTATTATTATTAATTTATATTATATTATTATTTCCTTCCTTTAAATACTGGTGTAAGTAAAACATTTCTCTCTCTATGACACTGTTGGCACAAGACAGTTCTGTACATATTATTACTGTGGCCACCAACACATTTCTTAACATGCTGATGGCCCTGACATGTTGTTTTAATACAGGTGGACTCTGCAGGTTAAATTACGCAGATGACTAAAACAAGTTCCCCTGCTGATAATGCTAGTGGCCCTAACACGTTTCTCTCCATTTTTAATGCGGTAACCCAAACATGTTTCTTCTGTGGATCATTGGTGTGAAAGATACATCATAATCTACACCAGGAAAATTCTAGGATTGGTCCCAAATCTGCACATTGAAAAAAAACTGAAAGCAAGAAGCTTGGTCAATTGTAAAAAAATAGGAGGAGCATGATGAGTATACCTTTGATATACCTTTGAAGAGTTTCGAGTTTCTCTACTCTGAGCCTGGCCATGGGCCAGGTTTGTCTGGTGCTTGCCTGGTCAACCAGGCTGTTCCTGCTGGAGGCCCATTGCCCCACATATCCATCACAGCTTGATTGATCTGGCACCTGATGAAGATACTTGTCCAGTTTCCTCTTGAAGGTTTCTACACTTGTTCCAGCAGTGTTTCTGATATCTTTTGGTAAGTTGTTGAATAGTCTGAGACCCTGGATGTCGATTCAGTGTTCTCTTATTGTCTCCACTGCACCCCTGCTCCTCACTGGGTTTATTTTACACTTCCTCCCATATCTCTCACTCCAGTATGTTGTTATGGCAGTGTGCAGATTTGGGACCAAGTCCTCGAGTACCTTCCAGGTATATATTATCATGTACCTCTCTCTTCTCCGCTCCAATGAGTACACTTTCAAGACTTGCAGGCGTTCCCAGTAGTTTAGGTACTTTACTGGCTCAATGTGAGCCGTAAACGATCTCTGTATTTGTTCCAGCTCTGATATTTCTCCTGCCCTGAACGGGGCCGTCAGCACTGAGCAATATTCTAAGTGAAGGAGCACTAGCGATTTGAAGAGTGTCACCATCGGCATTGTTTCCCTTGTTTTGAAAGTTCTCAATACCCACCCCGTCATCTTCCTGGCTGTCGTGATCTTTGTCTTGTTATGGTCTTTAGAAGAAAGGTCCGCTGACATAATTATTCCTAGGTCTTTTACGTGTTCCTTACGTTCTATTTGGTGACCCTCTTGAGTTTTGTATATAGTGCTCCTTTTGAGTTCCTCATTCTTTCCATACCTAAGCAGCTGGAACTTATCACCATTGAATGTCATGTTGTTTTCCACTGCCCACTGGAAAACCCTGTTTATGTCTTCCTGTACTTTTATCAGTGTGATGGGTGTTTTTATCTATGCTGTGAGGATGAGAAACAGCAGAGGTGCCAGGACAGTACCTTGGGGCACTGAGCTTTTGACCTCGCTGATGCTGGATCTTGCCCTGTTCACTACTACTCTTTGTGTTCTGTGTGTTAGGAACCCGAAAATCCATCTGCCTACCTTCCCCGTAATGCCCATGGCGCTCATTTTATGCGCTATCACTCCATGATCGCATTTGTCAAACACCTTTGCAAAATCTGTGTAAATCACATCTGCGTTTTGGTCGTCTTCCAACCCCTCCGTAATTCTGTCATAATGGTTCAGCAGCTGTGACAGGCACAATCGTCTTGCACTAAAACCATGCTGGTTCAAGTTATGCTGGTTGTTCTGGTCCATGAAATTTGTAATCCGCCATCTCATCACTTTTGAATATTTTTATGGTATGAGAAGTTAGGCCTACTGGTCTGTACACTAAGAGAGAACTCAATAAATTTAAGAAGATAAAGACTTGATAGCATGTTTCCTCCATGCATAAAAGGAATTACCAAAAACACACTGGCAGTCTTTCAGGGGAACCTTCATCTTCATATATTCCTGGAGTATACCTGGAAGTTGTTTTGGGGGTCAATACACCCACAACCCAGTCCATGATCAGGCCTCACAGTGGATTAGGGTTTGGTCAACCAGGCTGTTACTGTCCATTGCACGCAAACCAACGTATGAACCACAGCCTGGCTGATCAGGTACTGACTTTAGATGCCTGCCCAGTTCCCTCTTGAAGACAACCATGGGTTTATTGATAATCCCCCTTATGTATGCTAGGAGGCAGTTGAACAACAATCTTGGGCCCCTGACACTTTTTGTGTTGTCTCGTAGTGTACTCATGGCACCCCTACTTTTCACTGAGGGGATATTGCGCCACCTGCTGAGTCCTTTGCTCTCATAGGGAGTGAGTTCCATGTGCAGATTTGGGACTAGAGTCCCCAGGATTTTCTGCTTTCTGAGGAATACAGGTCAATGTACTTCAAGTGTTCCCATTAATTGAGGTGCTTTATTGTACTTATATGTGCAGTTGCTGATCATCCGGACTACAGCTGGCATCAACAGCCTGTTTGAACAAGTCAGCAACCTGGAAGCCTTGTCTGGGATCAGGTTGCAGGGCTGGTGACCCCTAAAATCAATTCCAGATAGATTCTAGTTAGACCCTATGTGGGATATAGAATGCTCTGTTCTAAATACATGGGGTGTTATTTCGGGGTCCTTACTAACCCCTTTGCAAACATGCAAAGAAGTTAATGAGTAATGGGTCTGTGGCCTAGCATAATCCTGGCTTATGTGATAGTGAAGTCTGTTCTAGGTGTGCTGTTTTTCTTTCGTGCTTGTGTTTTCTACTGCTGATGTTGTGCAATGTTTGCCATTTTCACTATTTATCCATTTCTCTGTTTCCTAAAAAAAATTTATTTTCCATGTTTTACTTTCTCTGTAAATTTGTAGTGTTTTATTTCCTTTGTATGAAATAAATGCCTCATCATGGTATTAAAAGGCTAGGCAATAACTGTGGAAAAACCAAGAGGGTTCATCAAAGATTGGAAACCATTGTTGTATAGGAATCTTGGTGGAAGAGTGCAGTAATCACAGTATAATAATGACATGTTAAAGAAAACTTGTATTGACCAAGATTCGCACGTTTTGGTGCACTTGGGTTATAGTATTTACATTGTATGATAGTACAGTGGACCCCCGGTTAACGAACTTTTTTCATTCCAGTAGTATGTTCAGGTGCCAGTACTGACCGAATTTTTTCCCATAAGGAATATTGTGAAGTAGACTAGTCCATTTCAGACCCCCAAACATACACGTACAAACGCACTTTACATAAATACACTTACATAATTGGTCGCATTTGGAGGTGATCGTTAAGCGGGGGTCCACTGTATTTATTTGAGAATTTGTGTTTCTTGCTTTTATTGTTCATTAATTTTATCCTTGTTTTCATTATGCTGTGTATATTTTTTTCTTACAACTAACCACTGAGTGACTTGTGTAGTCAAAGTGCTCCATAAATGTCATTGCTACTACTACTACAGGTGGGCCCCGCTTATACAGCAGGTTAGGTTCTGGGCTACTGCTGAAAAGCGAAAGTCACTATAAAGTGAAACATAATTTTTTTCACTTTCAAATGTATGTAAAAGTCTGATAACATGTGAAGAGTAAGGTGATAGGGGTATCAAATGAGTTAGGTAAAGAAAAATTGGATATCACATTGAGAGGGGGAGAAGTATGGAAGAAGTGAAGTGTTCAGATATTTGGGAGTAGATTTGTCAGCAAATGGGTTTATGAAGGATGAAGTTTACTTTAGAATTGATGAAGGAAAAAAAACGTG